ACACACACACACACACACACATATATATATTTCTGTGAAAAGAAATCAATATTTTACAAAGCATTGTTTATGAAAATAAATCCCTCTGGCGAGAGAGAAAAAGTTCAAAAGAATTCATTTATGAGAGCAAAGAGGCTATTGGAGTGCAAGTGCCTTTGATTGAGGAGAAGGTTCTGATGATGAGGTCAGGAATCCATTAGAGGGTCTTTCCCCTTCCCTGCAGCATTGCCCCAGATAGATCGGCAGCTGTCACCATCCTCTACTTTCTATTAAGCTTTTCTTTCTTCTTCTTACCTTCTAACAGACCAGACTTACAGTGACACTCCCTTGATCCATTTCACACAGATGGACAAGATATACCCATTGCCCCTGTTGTCCTGTTGCCATTCTTTGTTGAACATGCAGACTTTCATTTGCCGTTGGGTGTTGGATATAACCAGGCCCAGCTAGACTGCAAATTAGAAGGAAAGACATGGAGGGATGAAGGTATCACTTGTCATGGTGTTGGCTCTCATCATTGCCTCTCTTTTACTTTAGAGATAACAAATAAGCAGTAATAGTTATCTTATAAGCCAACTGCTTACCCACCCCTGCCTTTTCCTTCCTTTCAGAGATGGAGGAAGGAGGGAGGGAAGCAAAAGACCTGCATTGGCTCCACTAGCAAGGGCCACATAGCTAACAAGAGAAGGTGAAAAAAGGTAGCCTGACAGACTGTGAAGAAGGAATAAGTTGAGAAGTGGTTATGTCTGCATGCTGCAACAGACCCCAGACATTCTTAGATATGTAAAAATCTAAGCCAGAGCTTTAAGGCTCAAAAAGGCAGACATGTCCAGAAAAAAACAGATTATGATTACCCTAGAGAAAGGACATTGCTCAGATTACCACTAAGCATATGGGCTGCATGCTGATATTTTACAATATGAGAAACTTGAATTCTTCAGGCAATACAAGTAGTTGTAAGCACAAGTCACCTACATCCACAAGAAGATGGCTCTGTATGGGCAGAAACCCCATGTCTGCCCTGTTTTTATTTGGAATCTAGCTGCATTACTTTATATGGCTGAACCCCAGACTAGCTTTCCTACTCCATGAATATAAAAATATGGGCTTCTTTGCAGCAAAAGAAAAACTGTTTACTGGACAGGTAGCCAACCCTCCACCACAGAAAATTTAGGGAGATTTCCTGGGAGAAATTTTGCCTATAACCATTCAAGTTACATCTTCTTAGTGTGTGCTGAGCTTTTTAATTCTTAGGCTATTTTTAAATTTATTTTAAAGATCTCTATGCTGAATTTCAGAGCTAAAAAAGATCTCCTAAAAAAACTCACAACTGTTCTCCATACATAGCTAATACAAAACACTGTATTAAAATTCTAATCAGTAGAAGCACGACTAGTCCATGCCTTTGGAATGGCCATGTGTTATTCATTTATTTTTTATACAGAAGGCAGATATCAGTGGCAAATATTTCATCCCCATCCATACTTTTGTATACATATGTTTTTTCCTCCATATTTCTTTAGACTTGAGTTGCAGCTATCATTTTTATCATCAGTAAAAATGTAACTTCAGCACCAGTCAATCCAGTGTAGGCAATTAGGCATAATACTATTGAGGTTTCAGGACTTTGAGGAGACCTTAGCCACCTGTTTATTGACTACATTTAACAAATATTCTGTAGTAATGATTATCAGCTATAAGTGTTTTTAAGAACCATTAAAAACACCTGTTCTGCAACCAAGCATTCCATGATAAATAAGAGACCACTGGTAAGGTGGTTTTTCTCCTGTATCGTGCCTTGTATTTCATTATCCAGCTGGATATTGTTGGAAGTTAATGATGAATAAACTCTTATTCCATTGCTTCTCCTAATTGCCTGGAGTTGACTTCTGTTCTGCTGCAGAAATGATGGTTAAATTCCCTTCATGATGTCTTTTTTCCCATGGCAAAATAGCGTTATTTCAATGCAAACATTAATCAAACAAAATAAAAACAAGAATAAAAACAACCCTGAAGTCTTCACTCCTATGTTGGGTTCACAAATGGGCAATGAAACAATTGAGAGAGGGTGGATGGTAGTGTTGCTTTTCACAAGCATCTGGACCATCTCCCAGTGAGAAACCCAGTGGACAAAATACTGCTACATTAATAGCAACAGTATTGTTATTAAAGACTTGTGGACTACTCTAGAGCAGCTAAAATGCAATTGGGTTTATTGCCATCTATGTGTATGTTTTAATAGAACTATGAATCTTGGAAGGACAAGTGGTGGTATTGGAACAGAATGGACATGGCATTTATTAAAATTTCAAAGAATTCTTTAAAATATTCTGTTATTCTCCATGATTGATATTCTACTCTGGAATGTCATGTTTGATTGAAATGAAGAGCCAAGACATGGAGCCAGCTACAAAGATGCTGAGACATGTAGCCAGCTACAAATGCTTGAGGATCAGTTTTCCAAATGATGAGAAAAACAATTCCTGCCTGCTTCATGATTATGTGAAAGGACTATGTTAAAAAAAAGTCAATCTTTGCTAATTTTTACAAAGATTTTCCTTGTGATTTGAAGTATAGTTTCTGGTGGCACATATCAACTTCACGTTTGGATGTCTTATTTGTTTTTGGTGGCAAAGGGAAATGTTGGTCTTGTGTTTTCATATGTGACAATATCTCCTCTCTGTACAGCCCTCTGAAGACCTGGTATCTTATGAATCAGACCTCTACAGACAGTCCCATGACAGTTACCAGTATCTCAACAGTGATGCAGACAGTCATGGTGGTAAGTAAATTGCCAAGCATCTGGGAATACCAGAGTGACAAATTTATGGTAATTCAAGAAGGATGATGCATGAGTACAGCTTTTTAATCGCCTTTTTCAACAACAATGCTTAAAGCCAATAGTTTTACAGCACTTTGGCTTAGCATGGTATAAACACTACTTTTCTGAAACAGTTAGTTGATACAACAGCATCTCAAGGCTGAAAGACCTGCTAATGGCAACTATTTTCATTATACCTGCCAAATATTGGTCCTGGTTTCTTCCAGAGGGGGTAATAATAAATAAGACCTTCCCAGTTAAGCACAAGTTGTACTACTCTTGTTGATTTTGCACAATATTTTCTGATAATGAGGACAGGATAGGACTGTCTGCAGCAGCAACAACATTCTTGGAATTGGGGAACATGATTCAGAAGCCAGACTGTGTGTGTTTGAGTGGAAGGTCAAGCCCTACATTTCTAGCCAGGGTAGTTCATATCCACCTTGGCTGACAATTCTAGGAGCTGACATACTGTACAAGTATCTTTGGAGATAACTGAATTGGGGAAAGCAGACTTGGATGTTCCCCATGTCTGGGAAGTATGGGGGTGAGCATAACAAGAAACGTGATGACTGAAGCAGGGCCAGCAGATGTATTCCCATTTATAGCTAAAATAGCTTTATAGAACCTCTAGAAGAACAACATTGTATACATTTGCAAGCAAGAAATAATAACTAGAAGGCCACAGTTATCTAATGCTTAAATTTTTATAGTCCCTGTTGTGTTGAAAATTAGATTAGCACTGGCCCTATTTAACAGAAAGGAATTGGATTGGAAATCATGGGCTGTTTTTCCATTCTAGCTGATTTAGAAGTAACTGCTGCAACTAAGAAAATTCATTTTTCGACCTGGTTATTTATTGAATAAACCAACATTGGCTGGCTTCAGTTGCTAAGCTATAAACTATAGTTTATAAAGGACAGTGACCAAGTTTGCATCATGTTAAGCTGAAGTCAAACAAAACCATATTGTGCTTAGCACAAAATATGACTGCAGCTAATGTCTTACTTGTTTTGTTCTTATGTATCTGGAATTAAATACATTTGACTTTAAACTATCACCCTGGTCTGTTCTGGGTATAATTTATATCCACTCACCTTTGTAAAGAGAGAAAGTATTTATTTATTTACAGAGGCAACCTTTCCTAACCACAATCACAACAAAAGAACAAAATGTGTGTCATGATGAAATAATGCAAGTTCGGCCCTTTCATACTTACGTCACAATATCACATGCAAATATAAGGGGTGGGGGTTTTGTTGCAAGATCGTGATAAATGTTTTGTCACTTCCCCCTTTTGCTTCCACCTGGCAGACACTTATCTTTATTTAAAATATTTACACTACACCGTGGTGCACAGCTTTCAGGAAAAGCTTCTTTCTCTAATTGGTCCTATCCCCATCCTCACATCATATGTAATGATGTGCTTGTATGTTTAAACAAGACAACTGGATTAGACTAAAAAAGATCATTTTAATTTTCTGGTCAATATGGAAGAGCTAGACATCTCCATATAAAGAGGCGAGAGAAGTGTTCACATGAATCTGTACTTCTGTAATTTATTTTCCCCCCATGTCTTTATTCTTCAACCTCTCCTTTACAGATGAATCACTTCTCTTTTGTCAATATGAAATGCTGGCAAACTGATACAGAGATAGAGAAAGATGGAGGATTGCAAGTGATATCCAGCACATGTCAGGGACACAGAAAAAAAAGGGCAGGGAAAAGACTGGTAGTGACATCATCTTCCTTTTCGTTTTATGGTTTGGTAATCATTGCTTTATTATTGTGATACAACTTAGAAGAAACATAAGAAAAATGGATGAATGATGTTCACAACCTAGTAGTAATACATCAGGAAAAAGTAAAACCTTTTATGAAAGGAACACTTCTCTATGACAATGGTAGCATACACTGTTGGGCCATTGCTCGAGGCTTTATCTGAGCATGAATCTGAGCAGTGAATTTGAGCAAACACAGCCTTGTCCCTCCTTTAACCTTTCCATGCCATTAAAGCAAGCATTCTCCTTGCCTCCATATCAGACAATTCTCTCACATCCTCTTTCACTTCACATGACAGTTTTCAGAATGACTCCCACGTGAAAAAGCCACATACCTCCTAGTGATATTTTCTTTGAGCAAGAAGATTTTAATCCTTTTCCAGAAATCTGATGGATCACACCAAGGACTACCTTGTTCAACATTCTGTCCCTTATAGAGGCCACCAGACACCTTCTGGAGTTCACAAGCAGAACAATGACAAAAGAACACACTCCCACTCATGTCCCCGGCAACTAGGACTGAGAATCCGGCTACATTTCAGGCCAAATATTTATGTATTCATTAATTCATTAATTCATTAATTCATTCAATTTATTGGCCTCCAGACTCCCAAATTATATCTATATGTGTGTATGTATGTATGTGTGGTTAGAACACCGCCTTTGACGCAGGAGACCGCAGTTCAAATCCCGGCTGGTACCTACCTTACCAGTAGGGGTCCTTGGGCAAAGACCCCCTAACGCTTCACCTGCCTACCTCAAAAATATGAGAGTGACATGAACTAAGAGAGTCATGCCGGCTTGGACGTCGCCCGGATTAACAAGGTCCACGTCAGATGTTGGGGAACCAGGACAATCTGAT